AACATGATGGTACAGACGGGAACCACTATTCTTAGCAATGTTATCGACCAGGTTCACTTTAGGTTTTTCAGGTTCACCCAATGATTCACTAAACACGAGGCACGCGAATATTACTAATGCCTGTAAAGAAAAGCGTTATTTAAATTAATGCAACATAAAATACCAAGTCTTACAAAACACACAAAACAATTAGTAAAAACTATATAAACTACCATTACAGCCCAGGTACCATAGGCCCTAGCCATGTCCCTTAAATTTTACTTATTTAATCAATACCAAAACATAAAACAAAAAAACATTAATTCACACCTTTTAATCACTTCACACAAATTATAATCTTTGTAAAAACACAACACTAAAAATCAATGAAATAAGTTTTTTTAGAATCTATTTCATTACCTTTCTCCTCATGATGGGCGTTGTTGGATGTACGAACGCGGGAGCGGCACTGCAGAGCCGCGCAACTATTCACCACCTTTTATTGAAAAGCGCGCGAAATACGCACCTGACATTTTCCGACAATCCCGCGCTCCGTTATGTCATACCTTTAAATAAATACTAAAATAAATAATATTATGTGATTGAATGTAACCCGAATGCACTCCTCTTGTTGATAATAGCAAATTCACTTGATAGAAGATTACATAATAACGAGTTAAAGGTAACCAACGACACTAATAAAAAGTACAAATAATAGAAACAAAGTTTGATTACAACGGCGTTTGGGCGCCCTCACCCGTTCCGCTTTTCGTAACGAAAAAGGCCGTTGTATTATGAATTGCAATCATTACATTTAAAATAAGATTTAATTTAAATTAATTACTGCAACACAATCGCCAATATTTAAAAATAAAGAATTGTTAAGCACCATAGCGTGCAACTTCGTATAATCTTAACTTATTTATTTATTTACTAAGATAAACCAACAGGACAAAATGATGACACATACATTTTTACACATTATCTCTACTCTACTATTCTAAAGAGGAAAGATTTGTATTTTTGTAAAAACTCTAAAACTACTGGGCCGATTTTAAAAATTCTTTTGCTGTTAGAAAAGTAATTTAACTGTGAGTACCATAGGGTATATTTTTAAATTTAACAGCGTCTAAATCGCGAGCAACAGCTGGTCTTAAATAAAGTTGTGCAAGATAGCTTCACGGCGAGAGATGACAAGGCTAAATTGCGAACTTACGACCCTTATTAAATCGGTTGAGTATTAAATATTTCTCAGCTACAAAACTATTGTTAAAAAAGCCATCACAAAATTCAATTGAACATTAAACAGCCGCTGTGAAAGGATTAGTTTCATGCTTCGCCGAAGCTTACAAAATTGAGCTGATAAATTGAAATACAGCTACGTGCTATAGGACTATTACAGAATGGAGAACGATGAGCATACATCATCAGCTCCCTCCCATGGCATGATTGAAACCTAGGATCTAAATATTACAATTAAAATTAACACGAATAAACGTATATCTTCCATGTTATATTGAATGTGATTTGGACATTAATTGAAAGCGAAAAGGGAATAAGCGGTTACGTTATATAACGCAAAATTTATGTGGGCATTTAATGAATCCGGGTATATTGGAGCAATTGAGTTGTGCGTGTCGGACGGAAACGAGCGGCGACGCATGCTTCAAACTGTAAATACAGATATACTTCAATATTTTATATGGAACTATGTGGATCTTTTCTTAAAATCACAATTATCATTTTTAAAAATAAATATAGAAATAATTACATTATGTCATTATAGATGGATCAATTTGAAGTAAAAAATAAAAAAAGTCAAAAATTGATAATTCAGATTTGTCTTTCGTCGATGTGTCTAGTATTTTTTGTTCCGTTGATGTTTCGAAAATTAACTCCCACAAAAAATATCGAACAAGATGACAAGTTCAGTTACTTTCACGAACGGTTAGAAAATTGTGTAACAAAGTTTGTGACTTTTTCTAAAAAGATAAAAATAAGTAAAGTTTTACGTTACAAGGGACTAATTCAATACTTGTTAAATTGCTATTTGCAATTAGAAATAGGTTAGTCCATTGTGTAGATTATAAGTAAAACTTTATGTTGTACTAAGGAGGAAAAGTAAAGAATTTGCGAATTATATATTTTAATTTATTATCAATATTTACAAAACTTAATCTATTTGATGTCAAACGTTTCTTATAATTATAAAATTACAATCTATCACAAAGGTTGAAATAAACCGGATAAGCAGAAATGATCGGGTCCTACACCATAGACAACCTCTACGGTGCACCACATAACGATTAAAAAAAAACAATCAATTTTCTAACTGGCCAATCCCTGCGATTATAGTTTTTTTTTAAAGTACCATTTTAAAACAAAATCAAACCTTTACAAGCGCTGCAAATGTGCTAGAAAAATTTAATGATACCTTAAAACAAAAATTGGTATACAAAATAATTATTTACTTTTTAAATTAATTTACGTACTTTTGGATTAAAACGAAAACGAAAAATTTAACTGAGGTTACCATGGTTTTTAATACAAATTGCCTTCATTTGAGTTAAATAAAACGCAATATTAAATCAATTTCAAGTTACCTAAATGCCGAACACTTATTCACACGTATTTTTAACAACAACAGAAATAAAAATAGATTCTTCTTGGCCTCATAATTTGGCCTATGGCAATAATAATATGTACGCACGGAAAGCACTTACATATCGGATATCTTAGAAAATATCAATATATTTTTAGTAATTAACATATAAAAAAGTCAATGCAAGTTTCCACATGTATAAACCTACAAAGTTATGTAGCTTTCAGCAGTGGTGCTAGTATAGCATTTATTTTGTTCTAAAATATATGCTTTAGTACTGAGAATAACACACTAGTCTTTAGTGTTATTGGCGCCCATCGGGCCAGATAGGTTAGTTGCACTATATAAGATGTAAATTCAAGAGAAACATCAAGTAAAAATTAAATTAACTAAGATGTTACTTATACTTAAAACAATTTAAATTTTTTATGACGTAATTAGAAAGAAATACTCCGAGAAAACAAAGTTTCTTTTCAGATTATCAAGCACCACATGGCAGAATCAAATGTTAATCACCTTCTCAATAATTCTTCAATAAAAAAAAAATCGTGTCATCAAACACCTAATCTATTGAAAACATTTCTTGTGATGGTCAGATCTTTAGGACTCTTATTTCCTAATCTAGACTTAACTCCAACATCCTCCGGCATAGACAATCTTCGCTCTGGTTTGTTAAATACCTGTGTGTGTTTTGGCGTCAAAACTTTCTTAATGACATTGACAGGTGGATTCTTTGGTGCTGGAACTTGATTATTCAAAATATTCTTTTTAGTCCCTTCAATTTCTTTATATTCTACATGAGTTGAGAATTTGACAGATTTTGCTTTAGGCAATGCCAGTTTTTCTTTGACACTGATTGGGCTTTCATCAGCACGCATTGTCCCGACTGCAATTTTCCTTACATTATTCTTAGATGCAGTAACCATATATACTTTTTTCACTATAGGAACCCCTTTAAGTATGCCCTTGTATTTAAGAGCGTCCTTTTGAATTGGGATAACTTGAACATTATCCTTCTCTTCAGACTTCGAGCCCAATCTAGAAAAAATCTGTTTAGAAACTGGTTTTAGTGTGACAGGTTTGGCAACTTCAGAATTCCCCAAACGCGCAAATACAGTCTGTTTACTAGATGCACCTGTAAAAAAAATTATTACATAGTATATAGTGCAATCTAAAATATGAAGTATTCATTTTTTTTTTATTTTTTATGTACAAAAACATACCATTATCTTTAACCGCAGTAGTTTGTGGTGCCAGCGACGAAAAACGAATATGCCGTGCCTTTTTCATCTCCACCTCATTGTCATCACTGAAATTTTGAGTCATCATTAAGACATCAGTGGTAGAACCCGCTTTAACATCTTAGCACGAATGGGCCGACTCCCCCAGTGTAATACCACGACCACACAGAAGACACGCGTGAAATGGGAGTAATTTAGTGTTTCGTCTGATGAGTGTGGTGCCGGAGGCCTAATTTAAGTCCCTTTCTCTTCAGCACTCTTTTCAAATAAGGAGGGGATGGAAAGGGGAAGTGGATTTGACGGTAGAGGAGATGCATAGGAAGGGGAAATATCCTCTTTATGTGCATCTCCTCCTCCATCGGATAAAGGTAGGCAATGTATCTGCAATTGCGGATGTCTATGGGCAGTGGTCGCTTTGCCATTTTGGCGGATTTAGGTGCCTGGTTGCTCATTTGCCAGCTTGTGTTATAAAAAAAAAAACATGGAGAAAATAATTTCAACAACTATATACTAGTAAAATACTACAAACCTCATTTCATTTGATTTCCTTTTCTGTAATGATGAATTTACAGGAGAGGTTTCCTGTACTTGTGGATTGCGTGTGTAGTGTTCTAGTATACGGCTTGCAGCTGCAAAGTGTACAACTTATAATTATTATTTACGATTCTTTAGTATAAGTACACTACACAAAGTTTTAGAAGCATCTGAAGAACTGACGTGATGAAGGCTGTGTTACAGTTGCACGACCTGTGACAGCAGCTACGGGTACCTTGGTTGCCACCGCAGTGGTGCTAAGCACTCTGTCGCGAGCAGTACTTTCGTGTACTTGCTTAGCATGCCTAGAAAAATCGAAATTTTGTTATAAAGTTATGCATTAATTAATTGTTTTTGGATTAATTTAAATATTAAACCTAACCTCAGTATAGCAATAACATCTCCCATTCGTGTGATGCCCATATCTCGGAGATATTCCTTGTTCAAATCAAGCAACATGTCATTTTGTATGCGATTCTCTGTAAAAGTCAGAGCGTAGGTTGCGCCTACATCTGACGGAATACCCGCTGCTGTAAAGAAGTTTACCCACAAACCTGAAATGAAGAAAATATGTATAGGCATTAATCAAATCACTGAAGGCTAAGTATCAAACCAAAACATTCGGTGGAAATAGAACATTTCATTTTGTTATATAAGCTAATATACAGATTTCACACTAACTCGTGAGGTTTGATTCCATTTTAATGATTGGATTAATATCTAAAGTAATAAATAAACAATGAACACAAGGAAAGTATCAGATTTCAGAAATCTTTTTGACTGATTTTGACACAATTTGACTACTTTGACAACTTGACAACCTGTGTGTCAATGTATCACAGATGATAAAAAGATGGTAATACGTTACAAAAGTTTAAAAAGGACGATAACAATATTAAATCTAATTGATTTTCATTATAGGTACTTAAAAACTTATATAAACTTATAGGGGATGGTAATTCAATTTTAACAAAAAATATGATTTTTTGAAAAAAATTGTTCATTGTCAGGGCTGGATTTAACTGTCAAGTTAGGTATCTATCGGTGTCAGTTTCAGATTCTTTTTTGACACCTTGAAATTTTGAATTTTAAGGTATGTAAAATAATAAAAATTTAAAACAACATTATTTTGGGTTGTGAATATTGATTTTCGTGTTAACCATTGTTTTTTCAATTTTACAATTTTTGCCTTTACTGTGCGATACGAATAAGTAGTATCATTTTAGATATGCAAAAAATTGTGTGCAGCACATTTCTTCATCGCAGCCCTTTATTCCAATCAAATTATCAAAATTTCAACATATTTCAATCAACTAAATTACATTTAGGTATATAATTAATCGCCACTACAACAGGCACAATTATTAGTTAAATGACATATATACTAGCTAATTATTCAGTCAATGTTTACCAATTTACAGCTGCCTCTTGTTTACAACAAAAACATCCTGGAAAAAAAATTACAAAAATGTCTTCATCAGGAGTAACTTTGAATGCCATACCAAAAGTAGATATTGATAAGTCTGGTGTGTTTAAATATATTTTAATTAATGTTACGGACAAAAGTAAGCAAGAGGAAAGTCCAGTCACAATTGTTAGAGGTTATGCCCACTGCAACTACCACTCTGATATATTGGATGAGGTACAGTATTCTATGGTACTGCTTGTACAAATACATATTTTGGTTCAAAAAGTAATAGCCGTAGCCAGTAGGAATTTAATTAATTATTCACTATGCATTTGTAGATTATAGTTCAGTCGGGAGAACTATAAGGCTCACTCCTCTGTAATATCCACCCTTAATGCTGTTATCAAACAGCTTAATGTTTGTGTTTTGATATGCTTTTTATTATTTTTAGGTTGAAAGTAAGCTTCAACCATTGCAATGTGAAGTGTTGGGAGGTGGCCGTATTTCACATGATGCGGACTTTAAAAGGATTAAAATATATGGTTATTCACAAGGGTTTGGGAAAGCAGATCACGAGGTCACTGCTAACATTATTAAAGATGCATATCCTAATTACACCATCACAATAAGTGATGAAGGTTATTAAGCTAATAAATCTGCCTGCAAGACAAGGCTGTTTGAATTTAATACTTTGATATGTGTATGTATAGAATACTGTGAGATAAAATAATAAACTGCCAATTTTGTATGAGTATCTTTATTTCCTTGTTTTATTAACTGTATTAATGCCTAATTGTTAAAACTAAAAAAATTGTGATTTTTTTAACAAACTAAAATGTCATCGGAACTATTCATATTTAGATTGGCACTGTGCCAAATTTCTTAAAATTCTGGTGCTCCGTAATCCCATTTTTATTCGTATTTAATATATTATATTCGTATTCAATTTATATATTTTTTTCATTTAAGTAACACATTGTTAATATACAAATTATTTTTACCTGATAAAGCGACAATTTTCGATCTCTTTGGCTGTAAGATTAATGTCTTTATTTTGCTGTAAAACTAAAAACGTCAAAAGTGACATTGACATTTAATTCCGTAAATCACAAATATTATAGATTTCGTTCGTGTTAGAATTTTAACTCTTATAACATTTGTGATTGAAAAACTACTTATATTTAAGTACTTACTGATTTTTTATCTTTTGTAATTATGGCAAATTTCACTGTTGACGGAAAAATATGCATTGAACGCGATCTCGGAGTTGTAGCTACAAACAGAGAATTTGAGGATATAATTTCTCATTTCGATGTACTTAATACATGTAAATGGATATCAGATAATAATTTTTCGAAGGTAAGATTTTATGATTTGTAGTTTTATCGTTTTGAAATATCTATTTTCAATATTGCTTCCCAGAGCACTTAAAATATTTTGCAGGTCTGCCTACAGTTTCCCGACGAACTTTTAAATGTGAGTGCTCTATTATATGAAGAGATAAAGAATAGATGTGATGTTGACCTGTATATCTTAGGAGACACTTCATATGCTAGGTAAATAAGTGTATTTCAAAAGTATAATCTTTCACTAGTATATCTTAAATTTGACATTAGGTGCTAAAGTATTTAATGTTGCAGCTGTTGTGTGGATGCAGTGGCAGCTATGCATGTACAGGGTGAAGCAGTAATTCACTATGGACGCAGTTGTTTTACAAAAGCAGACATACCTGTATTCACAGTCCTACCAAAGACGGAATTGGATGTCAACACTTCAATGAAAAGTTTACAGGATAATTTCAAATCAGATGAATTAGATAAATTTTGCCTATTTTATGATGCAGAATTTGAACACTGTAAAGGTACTAACACATGTTTCAGTTATTGTTTATTTGTTACATACAAAAATACGAACCTTTCCTCTTTATAATATAAAATAACTGTTACCAATTGTTAAATAATTTAAACGATAACATTTTCATATTAAAGAATGTTTACAGATGAAATAGAAATGGCATGGTATCAACAATATCCCAATAGTTACATAGCATACATTGAAATAGAAGAAAGTGGAAAAAGATTCCTTGGCCGTGTAGTTAGAGATGTACATGGTGAGGAACACAATGAGGATGTACTTAAAAATTGCATTTGCATTTACATTGGCCAGAGTGGACAAACATTATTTAATTATACTATATCTATTAAAGGTAAGATAAAGTGTTCTTATCTTTCACATTATTAATGCATTTTTTAATTAAAACTTGAACAAACATGTTTTATCAGATTATGCCTGTAAATGCTGCATTCTGCATCTGTTCCGAATTTCAGGAAAATCTGTTAAACCTTTCATCTGTCTATTCAAACTTTTGCATTTATATTATTATAGATAAAAAGTTTTATTTCCACAGCAAAACAATGGTTATCACTAAATCCAGAAACATTACAAGTAGAGAGAAAGACTGAAACAGCCTGGTTCAAACGAAGACATTTCCTAATAGAGAAGTGTAAAGACGCCAATGTGATTGGTATACTAATATGCAAATTAGCCGGGGAACAGACAAAAGACATTATCAGCAGACTAAAAGATCTTTGTAAAGTTAACGGAAAGAAAAGCTACATAATATCTGTAGGGAAACCCAATGTTGCCAAACTTGCTAACTTCCCAGAGGTTAGTGAAAATTTAAATATTCTTAAATACATTTTTTAATGTGACTTTAACATTTTTATATGTTCAGTAGCTACTATCTTCTACATTTGTGCTAAATTTTATCAAGATTTCTTGAGCTGTTCTGAAAATATCTTCTAAAAATTTCAATTAAACTTTCACAATTACAATTTAATTAAGATAGAATTTCATGTTTATTAAGGACTTGACAATTAAATTTTCAGATTGATATTTACGTTATGGTTGCTTGTGCAGAGAATGATCTCTACAATAACAGAGATTTCTACAAACCGATTGTTTATCCATTTGAACTTGAGGTCGCATTGAATTCAAACAGGGAACCTTATTTCACCACTCATGTGACAGACTATGATGAATTACTCCCAGGAAAGAAACATTATTGTGATATAAATGAAGCTAAAGAATCTACAGATGTCAGTCTTATAACAAATAAAATAAGAGAAACGAAAGTTCATAGTTCGATTGAAAGTTCAATGGAGTTAGTTGAAAAACAAAGTATGGCGTTAGAAACTATCGGACAGAATCTTCAGGAAAGATCATGGAAGGGTTTGGAACAGAAATTAGGAGAAACCGAGGTAAAGAAAGCTGAAGAAGGTCGCAAAGGAATACCACTGCAGTACAATAATGAGCCAGAGTAAATAAGAATGTATACTTTTATTTACAGACTGATTTTATGTAGCAAATGTAAACCTGACATGTTATTTTTTGTCTTTCTTGACAATATTAAAGTTAAAAAAGCTTTGATATCAAACATGCAACAAATTTATTAGCCTCGGGCCTTCATAATATAAATAATACAGATTTAGATCTTTTGGTTGATTGGGTTTTGAGGGGACTTTGTCCATTCTTTCCTTAGCATCTGTTTAAGTTGTGACAGCCTCAGTGTGGGATTCTCCGCCTTCAGTCTTGGAAGGTTCACTTCCTCAAATGCTGTAAACGCTGCCTTCAAACGTTTCTCAGGATGTTTATCACTATCCAATTTGTCACTGCAAAAAAAATACTTGCATAACTATATAAACACATTGCAATATACAGTTTATATTTACAAATACTCTGTGTTTGTAACAGTGAAACAAATTTCTTTGTAATAAGACTCATCTCAGAAGGTATTTGCTGCTTTTAACTTCAGAAATCCCATAATTTTGTTTGAAAAATTATTGTTTACTAGTTTATGTGCAAAAATAAAAATGTAATAAAATGTCAAACATATATCAACCAGGCATAGAATTTTGTGGTTTGGTAGTTTTGCAGCCTGTTCATTCAACAAACTTAATTTTCCCTTAGTTTACCTCAGGATGGAGATGGCTTCATCTACAGACTGTGCAACCTCACCCTCCAGCTGCAATCTATTTAGATTCTCTACAAGTGGTGGCTCTTCAACCACAACTCTTGATGGCTGCAATACATAGAAATAATACTCAAATGAAAATACTGAATACAAAATTAATAAAAACACCCTTAACACAAGAACTCACCACAGGTTTTTCAGGCTCTGCTTTCATAGATCTTTCCTTTATTTGTTCAATCTGTGCACGAGTTATCTTTGGCTGTGGAGCAGCCTTTACATTACCTTTAATTGATTCCATTTCTTGTTCTAATAAGGCTTTAGATTCAGCTTTTTTCTTCAATTGCTCCTGACGCTTTTTCTCCATTTCATCCTAAAACACAGATTCTTTAACATCTTAATAGCAACAAGGTTTAATTTATGATATCAATTTTGACTTAAGAATTGATTCAGCAATCGTACCTTCTTTTGCATCTTCTTTTTTAACTTATCATCGTCATCTTGCCAAGCGGATTCTTCTATCATTTTCTTAAGTTTTTGATCTTTTTCTTGCTTTGCAAGCTCTTTACGCTCTCGCGCGGCTACCGCCTTGCTGTTTTCTCCCACAAACTTTTTCGGCATCTTGATCTAAGAAAATACAAATATTAAACATCTCAATAGCATAATACTGATGTATTATCAATTAATAGTTATAGAGATATAAAATAAGAAGTATTAAAACAAATCTTTTCAAGCAAACTTACAATCGCAATAAAAACTTACAATTTAAAAAGTCCAGATTTTCTTTATTTTTACCAATTTCTGCGATGTTTGACAATTTCAAAATTCTTCCACAAATCAGCAGATTAAAATTGACATTGACGTTTTGAAGATTTTTTTTTAAACAAGGTCTTTTGTGAACAAAAATAATATTTTTAAGATGCACATTTGGAAAAATTTTTTGTGTTTTAAACTCGAACTTTTAGCGTAAAAATTATAAACGTTTTTACTTTGGTAAAGTATCAGTACATGCAAAAAATCCGTTTACGACATAACAGAAATAAATATAGCGTCATAGTGACGCTGACAGCTCTAGATATTTTGGATTATAGTTTGTTTTGACATTGACTTTTAATACGAATATTTCTGCCTCTTAGTTGGCTGGTTTCGTTTAAGGTCAATATTTTATTTTTAGTTTACAAAATACTATAAACAATTGCGCTTTTTGGATTATTGTATATGGAAATCGCAGGACTGATACTTCACTCTAATCAAACTAATTAAGTAAAACATGTCTTTAGTTGCATATGACAATAGCGATTCGAGTGATTATGAAGATGACCAAGAAAGTTCGTCAATCGTGGTGACTAAATCAATTGAAGGTAAATGTTCATCACATTATGGTTTCGTTTATATTGTTATATAGAATAATTATTCAGGTATACTTTTAGATCCAGTTACAAAACCGTCAACCTCACAGAGCATAAGTGAAAAAGAACTAGAAAATGAAAGTGACAGTAGTTTGTTCATTGCTCTTCCACAGCCCACGAAAAAAGTACCTAGTGTTATTGAGGAGGAAGATGAGTTTTTGCATAAAAAGGAGACCACAAACAACACTGTAAAGCCTAAATCAAAAATAACTGTACCATCATTGAGTGATGTAAGAATACTAACTAGTAAAATTGTATTACATATAAATAAATTATTCATATATTTACAGATAAATTTATGAATTGTAAATTTTTTTACAGTTTAAAGATGTAACCAACACAGTTCCTATTGCAAAACCCAGAGCAGTAAATGGTGTAAGTTCATATACAATTTTAATAGTTTATTTGTGAAGAAATATGAACAGTATATTAATATTATTTTATTTTATAGAAAAAGTCTGGATTACTAAGCATTTTACCTCAACCTAAAAATGGAATATCAATCAAATCAACAAAATCTTTAATACCAAATGTCTTGAGACAGAATACAGGAAGTAGTAGTAAGAAAAAACCTTTGCCGACAGTGAAAAAAGCTAAATCAGAAACAAATACCATAAAAGATTCAGATGAAAGTGACAATGAAGATGTATCTAATGATTTCTTTTCAATAAACAAGCCAATTCATCTTGAAGATGTACCCATAGATAATGAAGAGATAGAGATATCAAAAGAAAAAGTTACAAAAGAACCAAGAAGTATAGAGTCATATTTCAAAAAAGATGTGGAAAATCCTGATAACATAGAACCAGAATCTGCATACATTCAGATGGAAACAGAATCTGTAGCAAGCTTAGATGCAACAAGCACACAGTCAGATATGGTTCTTGATGAAGAAGCTGTAAGTTTCATGTACCATAACACTTTAAACATTTCATGGTCAATAATTTGGCAACAATTTAGTTTATCTTCTTTTTTAACAATACAAATAATTTTAGAGCTATGTAGCAGTAATGTAAAAACAAAGTCTGATCATGCCTTTTTTTTTTTAATAACAAAAGGTGGCAAACAAGCAAGCGGCCACCTGAATCCGCCAAAATGGCGAAGCGACCGCAGCCCATAGACATCCGCAATTGCAAATGCGTTGCCTACCCTTATCCGACAGAGAAGGAGATGCACATAAAGAGGATATTTTGCCTACCTATGTATCTCCTCCTCTGTCAAATCCACTTTCCCTTCCCATCCTCTCCTTTTAAGAAAAGGGCAGTAACGAAAAAGGGACTTAAATTAGGCGTCTGGCACCACACTCATCAGACGAAACACGGAATTGCTTCCACTTCACGCCTTTCTTCTGTGTGGTCGTGGTATTACACCGGGTGTGCCGGCCCATTCATGCTAAGATGTTAAAGCGGGCACTACCACTGTTAAACTAACTGCCTTTACTAATGTCAAATTATAAAAAACTTTGATTAGCATAAAAATATATTTTTTTAGATATTAAAACTTGTCGGTGCTAGAGGAAAGCGCAAGAGAGAAGAGATTCAGATAGTTGATGTCAATCAACAAGAGGTACTCGCGGAGGCACGGCAGTTGCTGCTCAAAGGTCTCATGGAGGATACTAGTAAAAGAGTATCCGCAAGCAAAAAGAAAGGGAATGAACCTACAAACATGCAGAAAAGAAAACACCAGATTACATACTTGGCTCATCAGGTAAGAATTTGTTCGGAAGATATAAATGAATCCAACATTTGCACTATTCAGTCTATAAAATATAATGTGTGTAGAGAAAAAAGTGTATTTTAAATTAACTACTATACATGTGATATACTTTAATTATTTTCCTATTTTCAGGCCAAAGCAAATGAAGTGGAGCTTCAAAACAAATGGGCGAATAACAGAATGTCAAAGCGACAAACTCAATCTAAATATGGATTTTAAGTTTCTAATTCTCATAAGTATTTTAAGTTGTATAAACAGGTTTAAAAATAAAACATCAAAAATTAAACATTTGTTTCTATAATTTAATACTACATAATTTTATAAATAACTACAATCTTTTGGCTTTTCTGGGTCTTGGAGGATTCCAGGACACTCGTGTATTGTCAGTCACAGACACAATGTCTAGGCCACCCATTTGAAGACCCTTTACAGCAGACTGGAAAACAATCAAGATTAAAAATAAACATTTTAGTTTTATTTCAATCATATTAAGTTTTTCTTACCAATCTCCCAGGTCCTAAGCCTCTGACTCGCACTCTAATAGTTTTGTATCCCTTATTTATTGCTTTCTGAAAAGAAATTACAAACAATAAATTTAAGTTAATTTTATAAAGCAAAGTGTATAGTTTAAATGCTGTTGTATTGAATATTTACAGCTTATATTCTAATTGTTTCTGATAACAAAAGAAATGATAACTTACTGTAGCGATACTGATGGCGGTAGTTTGTGCGGCGATGTTTGTACCTTTTTTTGTGTTCTTGAAACCTTCCATACCACAAGATCTGGTGAGTTTAACAGAACCAACAGAGTCCGTTACAGTGAAAATTGTGTTGTTGTGGGTAACTCTGACATTGCATATTGGAAGATTCTTGTATGGAACACCATCAAATAAATAGTTGTCTGATTCCAATGTGGGGAATAAATTTTGTTTCCTTAAAATTTGAACAGTATCAGTAACATTAAAAGAATTTCATTATAGAATACGACTTTTCGTATGTAGCAATATAATTGGACTATTAAGCTTACTGCCATCGTGTACATCGACCGGTATACGTACAATTTTAAGACAGAGTCCAAGTCGATAATTTTCTCTCCTTGAACACCCTCATCATCTGCAGGTATTCTTTTATGATCAAATTTTTCTGTCGCTTGTGGAGTTGTTGTGTAAATTGAACGTATAACTGAATTCGTTGTTGCCCTAATAGTATTTCTTATAGCGATTAACATTATTATTGATTTAAAACAAAATTCTTCGCAATAATATAACCTATATCCTTTTTCATTTGTTTGACATCCGATTTGACAGTTTATTGACAGATGAAATTTTGAAATAACAGAGTATAAAACGCTTTACACAAAAAGACACATTCATTTTAGAGGTGAAAATAATTTGTTTTACATTTTCTAATTTTTAATAATCAGGTATTCAAGGATGTTATAGAAAACAAAAAAAAAAACAGCATTTTTCACATTGATGTATAATTTAATAACTTAAAACACAGTTTAACTGTAAAGTAGAAATGGAATATAAAATGTTTAATATTTATTGATTAAGAATATTCTTAAAATATAGCACGGATTGTGTGAATCCTCTGAGAGACGCGGGCACTCCGATGTGCAATAGCTGCAGCTGTCCGGCTTCGGCAATATAATTAGCTTTTTTCAGCTGATCTACCGCCCAACTGACTGTGTACTTGTTGAATTCGTCTTTACCTACGTCCTTGTTGATAATGTAGTTTATGGTGTGCGAATACAGTACTGTGGGTACGAGCGGGATGAACATATCATTGTCGAGCAAGTCTTTAATGAGTTCCTCTTCTATTTCTTGTTTCTGTATCCATTCCTGTGGAGTACAAATTTCAATTAACTTTGAATAGTAACTTTTTTCCTTGGATTTGTGAGAAAGTTAAAATTATCGTATATATGGTACCTTATGGCGCTCCAGCAGTAGCAGCACGAGGCGCGGTGTGAGGTCGCAACGGTTCAGCAGCGCGAGCCACACGCCGCAAAGCGCACCACTTTCCGGAGCACTCTCACACAACCACTGCACCTCCTACACAACAACTCACATTATTATTTTAAGAAAATTGTGAAAAGTAAAAAATATTTTAGTACGAGACCTGTTCGTCCAGTGTTGGCTCCCGGAGTAGCAGCTTGATGAGGACGAGTGCCTCGCTCTGCTCCGCGGACCAAAGCAGCGCGTGCACGTACTCGCAGTGCAGGCTCCTGCCGTCTCTGTCGCACACGTAGAAAACGTATATCGCTATCGTCTACTCATGTGTGTAATTTCTAACGTTTTGATTTTCGATAACGGATTTTTTCTTAACGACGATTTACGATCGCAGAAGTATTTTCAAAATTTCGGATATTCCACTCCATTACTTGTTATTGTATTAAAACAAAATGAGTACACTTACGGTTCCTTGGTGGGCGGCCAACAATTGAGGACATCGACGAGCGCCTTCTTCTTCTGCCACGTGTCCGACAGCGACATGAACTTGCTGAACACCTCGCGACGACCCTCCTCAGTCAGTAGTTGTTCATCTGTTGGAGAAGATAAAAATATTCATTTTCAAAGGAAATAGTAGAATATAAATCGTGTATTTATGTAAGTAAAGAAACGTGGATGGAAGGATGTAGTGGCGGCGGCGGGGACTATGCAGTTGACCTTGAGATGGTTAAATTATGAAAGTTTCGTGAGACATCATAAACTAATTAAGAACGGCTCAAATGTGTTTTCGTCTGGTGACGGACTCGGATTAGTTTCAGACTCCGACTACTCTTTATCTTTAAGCCATCTTACTAGTATTACAAAAGGAAAGTTTAAATGGATGGATGTTTGTTAGACTGTGTAGCCTTAACAGATCTCGATGAAATTTGGCGTACATGTAGAGGATCGTCCGTAACACATAGGCTACTTATATTTTTGTTTTTTTTCGGAGTGGCGGGCGAAAGGGGTGATTGGGGGGTGAGTACCTGTGAGGTGGTGTGCGTAGTCGAGGTGCGGCCACTCGCTGCGCAGGAGGGCGGCGGTGGAGTGCGCGAGGTGGTGCAGGCGCGGCGCGCGCGCGCGGCGGCCCAGCGCCAGCAGGCCGAGCTGGCGGTGCGCCGGCAGCTGCAGCGCCTCCGCGCGCGCCACCAGCGCACACACCACCTCCTCCGGGAACTTCACCCCCTCCTTGTGGTACTGGCACACGCGGCTCGCCACCAACTCTATTGATCTGCAACATAACAATATTCACTCTTAAACATTGCGCTTAGAGCGTGCACACCTTTGACTAAACTATCGCAAAACTGTTTAGTCGGGATTTGATTCCTATCTTATATGGAGGTGCACACACTACTCGATTTTGAGTTATGCAATCTAACAGTTGTATGGACTGCGAAACAATCGCACAACAGTTGTGCTCATAGGTGGCGTTTACAATCTGACTGATAATAATCAAAATTTTAATGGAATTTGAAGTTTAAGTGTGGTCTCATCTTAAGACACTATTACATTTTATTTCTACTTCTATTCTGAGGTGTTATGTATATGTTGTTACAAAATAATAGAAACGGAAGTATTAGTGGGGGGTAGTTTCATAAGTCATTGCAAGGATTGTGGCGCCCTTAGTCGCTTAGTCAGTTGAACTCAGTCGCTTAGTCGCTAACAAGCTCTCTAGCCGTCAGTACCTCAGTTCCTTCAGTCTCGTAGTAACTCGGTACATTTTTAGTCGTCACCACGGAACGTTCGACATCTTTTACGTAGTCGCCTTAGTGTATTCGTTTTATAATAATTCACCAGTATTGCTCATATTACCGCTCGACAATCATATTTTTTTAAAAGTCATTCGTATCGAAAAATATAACAATGTATTAACTGTATATCGTGGGCGTTGTGTGCGAGCATGTGCGTGAAGAGCGCGTGCGGCGGCAGCGGCAGGTGCAGGCAGTGCAGCAGCGAGGCGAGCGCGGCCGGCCGCAGCCCGCCCAGCGCCAGCGCGCTCAGCGCCGGCAGCGCGCGCGCCGCCGCCCCGTGGCTGCGCTCCAGCTCGCTGTACGACACACATGTTACTAGCCGACAAGGGGCTCCTTTACTGCCCGTTAACACTTTTGTCTATTTCAATATTAAAAAGTTACAGTGAAAACAGGAGAAGCGCGGGAAGACTAAAACGTAATATATTTATAGCAATTATAATTAAAATATTTATATATTTCAATAAACATGTTCTGCGGGGAATTAAAACAAGGGGTATTATTGGAATTAAAATAATTAAACAAAATATGATTGTGAAATTGTGACCCCTAATCGCGCAAACTTCTCTAGATTGCCACAGAGCACAGACTAAAAAAAATAATTATTGTTTTTTTTACATTTTCTTTATTTAATCAGTTAGTTGTTGAATAGGCAAGTTATAATTTAACGATAGTATTGTGTACTAACATCCAGCCTTGTTCCGCTGGAATGTCGGAGTTGTTCCTGAGCGCCTGCACGGCGGCGGAGTGGTAGTTGTCCAGGAAGCGCGCCCACCGCGTCACCTCCTCCCCCACCTGCCCCCACGACTGCTCGCTACATACAACATACTAATTATAAAATATTCAGTGCAAAATACAACCTCTGGATGACGGGAAGTATACAGCCAGAGGTTGCAGGCCTCCGACGCTTTTGCGTGTTTTTTTTTATAGAAAAGATAAAGGAAAAGCAGAAGAAAAAAAGGAGCCGAGATAAATATAACAGGCGAGATGTGATCGATATCGTTTTCAGTTATAAATAACTAACAATTAATTGAAAACATATAAATAAGTTTCAATAAAACTTATTTCGGTTTATACACAAAGTTTATATTATTGGCTGCCGCTTTCGATAACAAGTTAAATACAAAGAAGTGATTGATTTGATAAAATTAATATAAAAACAGAAATCTCACTTTTTATTAAACTTGTTTTCCTGCTCCTGCTGGCAGTACTCCACCGCTTGCATTAACATCAAGTTCCTGGTTCCTGCTGGTACGCTGTTTAAAAAAAAGCTTTAAATAGAAGTAAACAAAGTCGTCATGTATATATATGTCGCAGGAAGCTATAAATTGACTGTTGCTTTATGTGTAACAAACGTTATTGTCTTGCGTTTTAATATTGTTTAAGATAAAATTATTAATTTAATTCCTTTTTCTCGAAAGTAGAAACTCGATGTCATTTGTATTTAGTTCTTTTTAAAATTAAAAGTACGTCAACTTGCATACGACCAATAAGAGCAGAGCAAGCGGCTCGAGTGGCTTTTATTAGCTCGAGCGGGGTCGAGGCGCAGTTCAGTGCTTAGAGGGCGACGTTTGTAGTAACATGTTGTGGTGCGTGTTGGCAAAGTGGCGAGTCGATTGAGGAGAGTAGTGTAGTAGAAGTACGAACAGGTGTGATAAGTGTAGATTCCGAATTATATTGTGTTAATCCGTGTCTCTAGTGTTTTAATGCTCACACTTCACCCAAATAACGCCCACGAAACCAAGACTCGGTAGCAATGATGTCGGGGAGAAAGACTCAACTCCGACATATACGTATGTGTGTACAGTCGGGGAAACTCTCGGTGTATCTTAAAATCTACAATCATTTGAACATTTTGTAACGGGGAACAAAAATCAATAAAATGCAGCATAAATGTGTCTATACGAAAATAGTCGGTTAGTGTTTCGTCGGCTTTCGTTTGCATTCACTAATTAGTTATTTGTGGGTTTAAGCGGAGTTTGTTTGTTATAATAAACAAGGTGTTTGGTGAAATGGGGAGCGGCCGCAGGTACCGCTGCACGGCGTCAGCGCTGAAGCAGGTGTCGTCGAGGAATTGCAGCAGGTCCTCCTTGGTTAGCTTGTTGAAGTAGCTGGCGCACTGCCGGTACTGCTGCATCCACTTCTTGTTGCTCGCGTTCGCGCCAACCTGACACACACGTTATATCTTACTAATATTATGATTGGATGGATGGATGTTTGTTAAGTTGAGATGGATTTTTGATGAAACATGGCATACATGTTGAGAATATTCCGAAATAGACTTACTTTTGTTTTTTTTTACTCCATGCGAACAAAGTCGCCTGCAAAAGCTAGTATTTTATAAATCGCTCGATATTCCCGTACTTTCTCCGAGTCATAACATATCTTAATATTAAAATGCTTTCAACGAAGGCCTTTACCATTGGTTAACAATTACCGTTACCATGGTATTATAGCTTCTTTGCTATTGGCTTACAATTTTTGTCCCTAACATGACTATTTTATCTAATTTATTCACCCCTTGAATAAATAGCGTCAAAACATCCAGCTTATATTCGTAGCTTATGCAAGTTGAGTTTTTCATGAAAAAAGATTTTAAAATACGCTATGATTGTTGACAACCTACATAACAAAGGTGAGCATACGTTTTTAGATTTACTTGCAATCTAGTACTGGTTTTAGCACTACTAGTGTTTGGTGGGATTTCTACAAGTATAATGCCTTTTTCGTGTCAGCTTTCAAGTTACCAGGGTAACATGAGAGTGTAGTTGTTATTACTTACGGTAAAGAAGTGTTTAGTGAGCCAGGTGGTGTAGAGCGAGTTGACGGAGAAGGGCAGCCTGAGTGGGGCGGGCAGGGTGCGCAGGAACTTGCCCACCATGCCCACGTTCTCGGGTCGCAGGATGGCCACCAGGTGCGCCGACAGCTCCTGCGCACTCTGCGCACTCTGCGCACTCAGCACCAGCTTGTAGTCCAGATCTGAAACAATATATTAAACTAGCTTTGGCCCGCGACTCCGTCCGCGAGGAATGAAAAATAAAACAAAAGTGAGTAGCCTATGTGTTCTTCCAGACTATTCTCTACATCTATACCAAAGTTCATAGAAATCCGTTCAACCGTTTAGGCTACAAACTCTAACAAACAAACATCCATCAATCTAAACTTTCGGATTTATAATATTAGTATGAAGTATGATTATATTGTCTTCATTGCCTAAAATTAATTACAAATTAATTGAAATCCCTTGCCATTGGCTGAATATAACCATGACAACTTTTGTCTCTTATTGCTATTGGCTTGTAGTATTTGTCTCTTTCTTGCAGAGCAATTATTTAAAATTTTGTCAACACTAAGCTTACTAGAGAAAAAATATATAGCTTAAAGCGTATAGTAATTTTACGTGTTTATTAAGGAATTAATTATTCATGAATATGCTGTGATTACTGACATCAAATATAACAAAATAGTGTGTTATCTGAGTGCTTAAAATGCAAAAACATTAACCGTACATAGTAGCTTTGCAAAAGTTTTATAATATTTATGATACATAAAAATTATTATAAATTACCTGGGCATGCAGATTTGGCTTTTTTAAGCAGCTTGATGTGTTCGGGTGCGGTGAGGCCGTGAATATACGGGCGCTCGTCCACGCGCTGCAGCAGCGTCAGAACCGCCACCAGCTCGCCGTGCTCCGTGCCGCCGTAGCTCTCCCACAGAGCGTCTTTTATACTGATAATACACCGCATCACCACCATAATCATCATAACATTTAGAAATTTATGTATATGTCTGTATATTTACCGTGTGTGTGCATCGGGCTGGTTGGTAGGCATAAGGTTGACCAGTCGTGTGGCAGCGCATGCTTGTACGGCGTGTGTCAGCCATACATCCAGCTCGTCAAGAGCATGTCGCCGCGCCAGCGCGCACGCCAGACTCACCCGCGGCTCTTCTGTGCTCCTGGTACAAACGTATAAATGTCCTATTTAATTAAGATTATTCGTAACGTAATCTATAGAAATTAAAAAAGTAATATAATTAAATTACAATTGTTTACCTCTTTGGAATACACCCGTATGCAGTGTTACAATTTTTCAAGTTAACATGTATAGCCGAAATAGCTCAGTTGGGAGAGCGTTAGACTGAAGATCTAAAGGTCCCTGGTTCGATCCCGGGTTTCGGCAACCAACTTTTTGTGCATGTTATTTTTTATAAAAAATATATTTTTACAATATAAATTAGATTTAATTTTAAAATACTGTTCTTTGCATCTTTCTTTATATTAAAAACTTAAATATTAATCCATACTTGGCAAGTCTATAGATGATCTCCCGCCTGTAGTCAGGATCTGCGCCGAACAGCAGTCCGTTAACATTAATACCGAAGTCCCGTATCCGCTGCACGTCCAGCACGCCCGCCAGCTGCTCCAGACACGACCTGATGGTGGCTAGCTGCTCCTCCGTGGCGCTCTTCGTCTTCAATGTGTTGCGCGCCATCTATGTAACACAATTAGTAACATTTTAATAGTACCACAACTTTTCTTGCCTAGGTGAGAAATTTTAAATTTTTATTAACACTTCAACTCTTTAATTGTAAACAAACTGTAACGTAAGTAAGTAGTGTTGTAACTTGTTCTTTTATTGTAATGTTTTGTTTTTTTTTTTGTGCTTTTTCTAATAGAGGTTTGCACAATAACATTTTTGTACAATATTCATGATCTATTTTTGGTTGTATTAATATTGATAATCATTATACCTTTGTTATAATAAATAGCTTTTGGTTTTCTTCAAATCTATTCACTCTATAATATTATAAATAGGAAAGGTTTGTATTTTTCTATGTATTCGATTCACATAAAAACTACTGGGCCGATTTTAGGCTAGTTTTTTTTTTAAATTTCACGCGGGGGAGACCCGAGCAACTGATAGTAAGATATAAAGAAATAAAGTAATACCGAGACTAGCCGACAGAGAATTTTGGCTATTGAAACATTAGGCATTGTCTTGCAAAACGTAATTTAGACCTATAATAAAGTATTCATACCAAAAACAACATTGAACACTACGTAACGACCATAATACCATTAACCTTTGGTGTTGAAACACGCGTGTATATAGTGGGTATACTAAACACGTGGGTAATACCTGTTTAGGCTGATCCACATATCCTTCATCCTCAGACTGCGGCGTGCAGCGCAGCAGCGTGGCGTAGAGCGCGGCGCTGGCGGCGGCGGGCGTGTGGTGCGCGCGCGCCAGCCGCCACCCGTTGCCCGCCGCGCGAATCAGGCACGCCACGCTCAGCTGCGTATCCTTGTATAGTAGTTCCTCGCCACCTTTCTCCAACACTGCAAATAATCTCTCATTGATTTTTATTTCATAGTCTTCATAAAGATAATATTACTGTGTAAGTTTTAATAGATGGATGGGTGTCTGTTTTTTAAATGTAGAAAGGACAGATAAGCCACTTGCAATTTTTATTAAATTTCGCGTGAAAGAAGTCAGGGGAAAGCCAGTTTTATAAATTCGTTTGGATGAATGGATCCGAATTTTCGGTACAAGTGTAGAATAATTTGAAATAAACATAGACTACTGATTGATATTGTTTGAATTTCGTGCGGACGAAGTCGCGAGCTAAAACTAGCATAAAATTAATTGGAAATATCATCATCCTTCTCCTTATCCTACTCCCGTAGGGTCGGCGCAGCAGGTTTTTGTCTTCCACATAACTCTAACATACGTCGTCTCAGTCATCACTCCTTTTTTGATCATGTCACCTTTTACGCTATCCACGCATCTCTTTCTAGGTTTATCTTTCTCTTTCTAATATTTGGAAATACTTTAAGTTAAGCTTTATAAAGTGTAGTGAACCAGTGCATATGTAGCAGGCGCACATAGCGCGGCGTACCGTCAGCCTCGAGGCGCAGGTCGCGGTGCAGGTCGTCGTGCGAGTAGTACCAGGCGAGCAGCGTAAGGCCGAGGCCGAGGCCGAGGCAGGCGGCGGGCGCGGGCGCGGGCGCGGGCGCGGAGAAGCGCTCGTAGCCGTACTGCGCGCCGCTCGCCGCGTGCTCCGGCTGCAGCGAGCGGTAGAACTCCGCGCAGTGCACGCTGCGCTCCGTCGCCTCCTTCGACGACTCTTTGTTGTCACTGCAAGTTTCATTACTACAATTTAGTTGAATACTAATATTATAAACTAGCCTTCTCCCCCGACTGCGTCCGCGTGTTCTTCCAGACTATCCTCTATGTCTATGACAAATTTCATCGTATATTTTATAAAAATATCAATCAAAAAGCATTAGCATTTATATTACTAGTATAATTGGTAAGTTTAGGTGGATGGATGTTGGTTACTATTTCTTTACTTTGAAGAATTTCATCACTCATTAAATACGTTTAAAAAGGTTAAAAAAAAAAACTTACCTTAAATTTAATTTATCACGGAATGTTTCAAGTAGATAATTGAATATTAAAACTTTTTCAGGCACGATATCTTTCTTTTCAATGACTGGCTGGAAATAAAAAAAACGTATATTAGTTAAAAAGTGAGGTAGCAAAGAATAACAATAAATAAAGTTTGAGATAAAATAACAACAGTGGTGACGGCGTCAGCGAACTCTTCATCAGCGGACTGTCGGCGCGAGGCCAGCTTCATCTGCTCCGCCAGCGCCGCGCAACCCTGCTGCAGGTTTTCCATTTCCAGATTCAAACTGTATAAAAAATAATTATTATCTTTCTTATCCCCCGATCCATGGTGGTCACTTTGATTGATTTTTACTTTTTTAATGAAAATACTAGTATATTTTTGTTAATTTACGAATATTTCTTTGAATTATCCCAGGTATCCTGGCGCTTAAATTTATCTACTGTGTTTTTTTTTTTTCAATTAATACCTATATGAATAAACTTATCATTGTTCCTGTTACTCGTTTACTTCTTTCTCTCATAAAAATATATAAGCTATTTGTTTCCTATCTAAAAGTAATTAAATAAACCTCTGACCATATACTGCTTTCAGCAGTTATTGGACGGATTATTTCAAACCGTCACCACACTCTGTCACTATGTGGGGACAGATGAGAATAAAAAGTTTCATCCGTCCATCCTTTCAGGACTAGGGGACGGTTGGAACTTATTTTATTTCTTAACGGTTTAAATCTGTCACCTTATTGGTGAGTGTCACCTTAGTGTCCCCACGTGGGGACAGAACGCGGTAACGGTTGGGAATAATCCTTTTGTGTAATAACAGACCGGTCATGTAGCACATTCTGTAGGTCCGCGGGCGCGGCGTGCGCGGCGGCGGCGGCGAGCAGCGCGCGGCGCGCCTCCAGGTCGACGTGCGCGTGCGCCTGCTTAGCGGCCTCCGCCAGCAGCGGCGCCGCGGGCTCGTAGCGCAGCGCGGCCAGCCGGCGCGCCGCCGCCGCGCACGCCGCGCCGCCCGCCGCCCCGCCAGCCCGCAGCGCCTGCCGCCCCACCAGCTGCAGCACCATGCCCTCGCTGAAATTGAAAATACAATACTGAATTTATATTTAACCCTTAGGGGTTATATACTAAATAAATTTTTCAAAACCATAAATTGAAACGGGTAATAAATTGAACATAGATTAAGGAAAAAAAATGATTTTTTTTAAGTCCATTGGGTAAGGAAGAAAAGACTGATGTATAAATGCATCATCACGCATTTAAGGGTTGAACTAGCTATCCCCGCGCGGCTTCATCCGCATGAAATTATGAAAATTTCATTTTGTTTGCATTTGTCAAATTGTCAATTGCAGATGTCACAATGACATGACATGATGCAATCTTTCTTCTTTGATGTTGGCAGCTTGTACTTTATGGTTCCTTTCCCACATAAAGGTTTTTTTCCAATTAATTTACCCTTTTAGTTTAATAGCGTGAAAATATATAGACTTAAGTATAAGGCTTTTTTATTTAAAACAATGTTTTAAATCCGTGTCAAATTCTGAAGATACTTTTTAATATCCATCCATCCATCTAAACTTTTGTATTTATAACAATTACTTAAAAGTAAAATAGCTAATACATGTTATTGTTATTTTTAAGTATTACTTAAAAAAATGTAAAAAAGGGTTTACCGCACAGTCTCTATATCTCCGGCAATTCTGAGCAGTTTAGCTAATTCGAGCAACTTGTCACACTCGAGGAAGGCGTACTGGTTCAGTGTGAGGCACTCCTCTATCAACGACATTTTATCTTCGATGAGACGGACTGAAAATATAACATACGTAATGATTTATGAATAATAGGGAGTATGCATGTATTTTTTTCTTTTTTAAACGATTCTACTTGTTATAAAATAACCATTGATAAAAATAATAAAATAAAATTACGACCATTTTCGAGCGACTAAAACGCAACCGAAGTTGTCATGTGACAATTGACGTCAATCGTCATATTCCATTCATTAATTTTATATTTTAAAGTTGGTTTTGAAATCGTGTTTACAGTAAAATACTTCAAGAGTGTATTTCGATATAAACTAACGTAAATGAACTGTGTATTGTCAACACAGCGACGCCATATTAGATAAGCCACTTGCTTCGACCAATAGTGTGCGGTTTAGAACTAAGAGAGGGAATTTGAAAAAAGACACTTTTTAATGATTAAATTTTGCTACTAAATCACATTATATTTTAAAAAATCTTTGCAGGAATGTTTTTATAGTAATAAAGTATAGTTTAAAAAACTTTGGTATAATTTGGCGTTATATGCATATTGGCGATTAAAAACAAACAAGTAAATATAAATAATCATGAGGAAATAAACACCTTGTATGGGAAGTGTTTTGAGTCCAAAACTACTCAATATACTGAGTGCACTGATGAGATCTAACTCCTTCTTTATATCTGCGTTATCGTCTTCTATTAATGTTAGACAGCATCTGTAAAAAAGTTATTCCATGTTATAAAAATGTAATAAATGACGTCATCAACTCTTCTCATGTGGCTTCATCTAAAATGCCTAAAAATCTAAAATTAAAAAGCCTTTATTTTATTGCTTAAATTTGTGATATTGCAAGCACAAATAACAAAGACCTATGACAATGGATAACAATTACCGTTACCATGGCAACCTTGCTTCTTTGATACTATTAGCTTATAGTTTTTGTCCCTTTTCTGCTTGACGGATTTTTCCTGAGTATTTACTCCCCAAGTTTAATAGGCCTTTAATAGGTAATTTTGTTAAAAAATAATTATTCAAAATATGTTGAATAATGCTAACATCTTATATAGTTAAGAAGTGTGTTAAGATTTATTATATTACTAGCTTTCGCTCGCGACTCCGTCCGCATAGAATGAAAAACAAAAGTGAGTAGCCTATGTGTTCTTCCAGATTATCCTCTACGTCTATACCTTTCACTGAGATCCGTAAAGCCGTTTAGGTTACAAATTCTAACAAATATCCATACATCCAACTAAACTTTCGCATTTATAAGACTAGTAAGATATCTATACTAATATATTAAAGCATAAACACACATTACTTTGTGGCGTAGGATGTAGCAATCACAGCATATTTTTGAATAATACTTTCTTAAATAAAAAAAAATCTCTACATTTACGATACGCTTTAGCCAATATAAATTGAAAAAAAAAACCGTCAAGTGGGCAAGGGACCATAAACTACAAGCTGCCAACATCAAGGAAGCAAGATTGCAATAGTTTGTCATCATGTCATGTCATTTTGACATTTGCAATTGATAATTTGACAAATGTAAGCAACAAAATAAAATTTAATTCCATACGGATGAAGCCATACTTGAAACAGCTAGTTAGTTAATATTAGTAATTAGTGAATTAAGTATAATGAAGTTACTTGGCGAGTTCCAAAGCGGGGTCAGTGAGCGAGGAGGCGGAGTTGAAGTATTCCTTGGAGGAGTCGATGACGAGTGCGACGGAGCGGTCGTAGGAGGGCGCGGGGGGGGCGCGGGGCTACGACACCACGCCCGCCGCCAGCCGCACGCTCGCCGCCTCGCCCGACGCCAGCAGCGCGGACGCATAGATCTGTACAACAAACACTTATTATACAACTTTGATAACAGGTACACCTAAAAAAAAAACATACAGACGAATTGAGTACCTCCTTCTTTTGGGAAGTCGGTCAAAAAGAAATGGATAGATTGCGTGAAAGGTGACATGGTCAAAAAGGGCGTACTGACATATGACGTATGATAGAGTTATTTGGAGGACAAAAACCTGTTGTGCCGACCTACAGGAGTAGGATAAGGAGGATGATGATGAATACCAATTTTTTATAGTGTACTAACTTTCGCCTGCGGCTTTGTCCTCAAGTAGTTAGTACTAAACGGGATCCGTTCAGCCATTTACGAGATATGTAGTAACATACATCCAACAAAATTTTGTGCATTTATAATTAAAATGATTAATTCAACAAAATGGTAACGTATAAACTCGGTAAATAATTATAGTTACCTCATAGCACTGCTCCTTAGTGACGCAATCAAACAACGTCTCTTGCAGCTCGAGAATATCTTTGAGTAGGGATTCCCAGTCTTGTGGCGTCGGCTTTGTATCTCTAAAAAAATCCATATTAAGCACTTATCTACTTGTTTAAAAGTATAATAGCTTATTTATTTCGTTAACAGATATTTCACAAATTTAGGTAATGTGGAGCGATGTCCTTGACTGGTTAAAATATTTGATAAAAATGCTTTACATATCTTACTAATATTAGAAATGTGAAATCTTAGATGGATGGATGGATGTTTGTTAGAGTTTGTAGCCTAAACGGCTGAGTGGATTTCGATGAAATTTGATATAAATGTAGAGGATAGTCTGGAAGAACACATAGGCTACTGACTTGTTTTTTTTTAAATCCGCGCGGTCGTAGTCGCGGGGGAAAGCTAGTAATGTATATTCGTAAATGTTACGGTAGCGGCAGCGTGCGCGCGAGCCGCGAGAGCAGGCGGTGCGCGGCGCGCGCGTCCGCGAGCATGTCGCGCAGCGCCCGCAGCGGCACGCGCACGCCGCGCCACGCCGCGCGCGTCGCCCCGCCCACCAGCCGCTCCAGCGCGGACACGCGCCGCACCAGCTCGCTGCTGCTGATCGTGCCGTCCCTGCCACACACAACACTAAAGTAAAGGAGGACATTAAACCAGTAAAGTAAAAGAAAACATCAACATTAATACCTTTACACCACTAAAACTCTAAAAGAAATATAATCCAGGATGCTGTTAGCAACTAGCGCCCTTGGTTACATTACCACAACGCTTTTTAGCTTCTGGGGTTCTTGGGTTTGTACGCCAGCTAGGTTATATAAGACTGTAATTCGAAAACGCCCTAGGCGGTTGACTTATTCTAACAACGACCTTGACGATACTAATAAAACGGCAATTACTGTAATACTTCACATAAAGAGATTAAAAATTACATAGAGTAAGGTAAGTATAGTTAACACTTCACTTGTTTTTTTACATAATTTAACTAGCGCTACCTGGAGTCAACACATAATCCGAACATTGGAAAGCGTCTCGGCGTTTCAAATTTGACACTGAGATATTATCGTACATAGGTGTTACCGGTCAAAGAAAAAGTTCTGCGCTATGTTTATATATATGTCGGAGTTGGGTCTTTCTCCCCGACATCTTTGCTACCGAGTCTTGGTTTCGTGGGCGTTATTTGGGTGAAGTGTGAGCATTAAAACACTAGAGACACGGATTAACTGAGATAAATAATTACAATAAAACACTTTTCCAGGATGACAGCTCGTTTTATTATTGTTGGTTGCCAACGCAACCAGTGTGGACATCACATTAACACAATATAATTCGGAATCTACACTTATCACATAGCAAATCAACAAGCAAGACCGAGCAGCGGGTTCGTGGCACCGTTCTTACTTCTACTACACTAATTTCGTTTGTTACACATAAAGCAACAATCAATTTATAGCTTCCTGCAACATATATTTCTTAAATGTCTTGAACTTCACAGTTTATACTGTAAATAATTCGCTAGTAAAAAAACAACGTAACGACAGTTTATTTGAGCACAGGCTAACATTGGTAACTTAAAGACGAAGATCATAAGTATAAAACTCACGTCTCCTTGAGGATGTTGTTGAGGAGGTCGACGGCCAGCTCGAGCTGGTCGGAGCCGGCGTGCGCGAACAGGCAGCGCTCCGCCAGCTCGATGTGCGTGCACACGTCCAGCTCAGACTCCTGCAGCATCTGACACAGCACAACGTTACTGCACTTCCACATCATTAACCCGTCCTGAATTCACTTACAAACCTATTTCACATAATCCATACATTTTGGGTATGTGACTCCACGTAAAACATCCGAAGGTTTATTACGAGTATTTAAAAAAAAATATACTAGCTTTTGCCCGCGACTCCGTCCGAGTGGAATTAAAAAAAGTAAGTAGTCTATGTGTTCTTCTAGACTATGTTCTACATCTATGACAAATTTCATCCGTGTCCGTGCAACCATTTAGGCTACAAACTCTAAGAAACATTCATCCATCTATCTAAACTTTCGCATTTATAATATTAGTATAAGAATGTTTTGAGTAATTACTAGCAATATGTAGGAGAGGTCGTCGACGCTGACGCTCTCGAGGAAGTCGACGATGCCGCCGAGGCAGGCGCCGGGCCGCTGCGCCAGCTTCTCGTACCGCTTCAGGAACGGCACCACGAACTGCTTCATGTCCGCCACGAAGTGCTCCTTCGACGTCTGACAACGAATACTATGCTTTTAAATGTCTTCTACTAATATCCCCACTGAGGGGCTCTGAGCCTACCCTAAATTACAGGGAGACTACATAGTCAACCACACTGGCCCACTGTGGGTGGACATCACACATATCTTTGAATTTCTTAGCAGATAAGCGCAGTTTACATTACGACATATTCCTTTATCGTAATAATGTCGGTTATCCGACATTATTACGATTAAAAATTCACACTTATGTGTGAATTTTTAAATCAAAAAACACATACATAGTTAAATTCGAACCAAAGACTTGCAGATTACAATTCAAGTTTTATCCCCTGAACCATTCTCGCTCACAAAATCATACCGTATTCGATCAGTTTTTGGCATTTCCTGAACATCATTATATCCTAAAATAAAATCTATTTCCTCACCATTTTCATGAGCATCTTGCATGTCTCTAGCGGGGACATCTTCTCGAGATCGCTGAGCGTGACTCCCTCCACATTGACATCATACAGCAGTGTGCTGAGCGTGAGGAGG